ATAAGAGTGTCATGTTTCTGCAGCCACACTGTAAGCTGAAGCTGAATAACCTGAACAACCTGATATGAATTTCAAGGAACAAGTCATGTTTGATATGCAGGAGACACAGAGTTCACCTGCAAGCCCAGAGCCCATGCTTTAACCAGAGACATTCAGCTAGCAAACTACATCAAGAGATTTTGGTGCCTTATGGTTGTGAATGCCTATCCCAAACCAGCTGCACAACTTCTGTCATAATAAGACCCTTCAATATGACAGCATCTGCTTATGATTGCTGCATCCACTTGCAGAAAGATGCTGGAATCAGAATTTTACAGTCTCTGCAGCATACTGGAGCTCTCTTTGCAAGATCCCAGATCTTTCCAAAACCTCAGGGACATTTCAATCCACCCACTGGCTAACAGTAGCAACTTTTATTCAAATTTACTAGTGCTCTGTGTTACAGTGTTAGAGATCTAGACCCGCTTATTCTTATTCCCACTTTAATTTAACCCAGTCATTCCCCTAGGTAACATAACTACTACTTTTTAGGTAAGCAGGAAAGTTTATAATTGCTTGCCTTTCTTGTTGCATGTTAATAGTAGGATGAGCATCCATCTTGGTAAAAACTGGTAGATTGAGGTTTAAAAGGACAGATTTCTTAATCTATTCTATTCTTGTTGGTTTGATTGATGGACACTCCAGTTACTGGGCATACTCCAAACCCTTGGCTTTATCACCCTTATAGTCATAATAATTGTCTGACACAGTATGCTATATCTTCTAAAAAGTCTTAAATATCTACACACAGCTATCTATTGTACTTCAAATGAACTCATTCTCATTTGAGAAGTCTGTTTTCAATTTCTTGCCATCTTCAGTTTTTAGTGTATTTGTGTGTGTGTGTGTGTGTGTGTGTGTGAGAGAGAGAGAGAGAGAGAGAGAGAGAGAGAGAGAGAGAGAGAGAGAGAGCAATTTAGAACAAAAGAATTACCAAAGTACCTGCAGTCTTGAACTTTGGATGTTGTAAGACAAGGTTGATCCTAGGGTCCTACAGAAGGAATGGTGAGGCTGAACAGAGGTTGCTGAGGAGAGAGCAGTCTGATACATTAAAAATACAAAACAAACAGCAAGCAAAAATGGAACAAGATGGAAAATTTCACAACCAAGTTGTGCTTTGGAAATTTTAGATCAGCCATTAACTGACCAGAGGTCGTAGGCAAGTTTTCCAACTCTATCCTTGTAGTGCTTCATTGGGGAGAGATTGAACGACCCTCCCTTGTGCGGCAAACATGGGTAGAGCTCCTAGAACAGTGCCTCATACACTTTATAAAGGCACATGGCATGTGCTGGGCAAAATGAAAACATGGATTTGGCACTCAATTCCCTTCTAAAAGTATCCTCTCAAGGGATTATTCTGAAAATGAGAATCTAGTACAATCATCTCTTCATACAAAATCTTGGGGAAAAAATAGGAAGAAATATTTTGTGTGTTTTTTTTTTATAATCATGTGCTGAAGGTACTTAATTTAAATATGAACTTGCCCATTATCTGGAACTGACATACAGCTTCTTCCTTAAGGGGAGTAAAAAATAAGTTAGGCTACAAAAATAAAAACTTACAAACACTTACTGATCTCAAAAATAGGCACATAATTTGACCAAAGAATTCATGGCAACCAAAACATCTTTCCAAAGCTTCATTATGAAGGAAATCATTACATTTCTTAAAAAGAGATTTTAACAGATATATTCTTTTTTTTAAAAACGATTCATTTATTCTTATTTGAAAGGCAAGTTTACAGAAACATCTTTCATACTTTGGTTCACTCCCCAAATGGCCTTAAAGGCCAGAGCTGAGCCAACCTGAAGCCAGGAGTCAGGTGTCAGGAACGTCTTGTGGGGCTTCCACATGGATTGCTTTCCCAGGTAGAACAGCTGAGACACGAACCAGCACTCATATGGGATATCAGTGCTTGCAGGGGAATGATTAACCAGTTTAGCCAGTAACAGTCCCTAACACATGCATTTTTTTTTTTGGACTTTATTTTCATTGAAAGGCAGATTTACAGAGAGAAGAACAGCCAGAGAGAGAGAGAGAGAGAGAGAGATCTTCCATCCACTGGTTCGTTCCCAAATAGACACAAGCAGTTGGAGCTGAACCTATTCAATGCTAGGAGCCAGGAGCTTCTTCAGGGTCTCCCACAAGGCTGCAAGGTCCCATGGCTGGGCCATGCTCTACTGTCTTCCCAAGCCACAAGCAGAAAGCTGATGGAAGTGCAGCAGATGGGTTATGGACCACAGTCCATATGGGATCCCGGCACTTTTCAGGGGAAGGATTTGGCCAATTGAGCCATCACTCCAAACCCAAACAGATATATTATTAAAAATTACTTTAAGCTTCCTTATTCTGCTTTATAACTTTAGCATTTTCAGATAACTCTTCTATCAATTGATTTCTGTTATTCATAAATCATCATTATTGCTAATGTTAATTGAAAGTTTTATGAAGTACTCTTAATAAACATAAAAATGAAACACTCACATGTGCTAGTGTCTTGGCAAAAAAACATCCATGGCATTAAAAATGTCTTCTGTATGTGGAAGATGCCAAAGTTCACATGTGGAAGCCACTTCTCTGTCTGTAACTGCAAGTTGCTTCATCCACTGACTAAGAACTTCTCCAGTGTGATGCTACTGAAACTAATTTCTGGTTCCTCCTTAAGCCCCTTAATCCCAAGGCAGTCCCCCTCCAGACAATGGCAACTACTTATCTCCAGTTGTAAAAATGACCCAGGGGGGCCCAGCGGCATGGCCTAGTGGCTAAAGTCCTTGCCTTGAACGTCCAGGGATCCCATATGGGCGCTGGTTCTAATCCCGGCAGCTCCACTTCCCATCCAGCTCCCTGCTTGTGGCCTGGGAAAACAGTCAAGGACGCCCAAAGCTTTGGGACCCTGCACCCGTGTGGGAGACCCGGAAGAGGTTCCTGGATCCTGGCTTCGGACTGGCATAGCATCAGCCTTTGCGCTCACTTGGGGAGTGAATCATTGGACGGAAGATCTTCCTCTCTGTCTTTCCTCCTCTCTGTATATCTGACTTTCCAATAAATAAATAAATCTTTAAAAAAAAATGACCCAGGGGCTACCATGGGATCTATATATTCATTTAGGTCTTCATTTCCCTTCTATATAGTTCATGTTCCTTTGGGACACTGGTCCTACCCTGCATCCTGGACTGTAACCTGACTGGCTTAAGCCACCAAGCACATCCCACTTTCTTTGCCAAAGTCCAATCAGAGAGAATCTCAGGAGGTTTTATTTGATTTTTAAAATGAAATGGGCTAGGAGATGCACATTCTCTCTCTTTCTGGATGTGGAAGGGCAGGTCTGTGACACAAATTGCAGTATGCATCCGTGCTTATTCAGAGGGGAGCCAATTGTGGTGCACCACAATGAGCACAGACAACAGAACATGATACTGAGACAGAAATGTCCCTGCAAGGTCCGTGAGCTACTGCATCAATATGCATGGATGCCTCCCCACTCTAAATTCTTCAATCATGTGCTCCAAAACATTTCTTTGTGAGTTAGAGATTTTGGTTCAACCAAGTTCAAGAATCTCAATCGATATGACTGACCACCTGAAGTTTTGCTCAACCTGAGCATATTCCTAGGTTAGTGAGTCATGGAAGGAAAGGTGCCTTCTCTCTCGTCCTTTCATGCTCCTTGGTGCTCCCACCTTCTAGAGTCCCCCCTTCCCATCAGATTCCCTTGGCAAACTGCCTCCTGTCCTTTAAGATCTGGGATAGATATCCAATCACTTAGGATATTGTTGTTTGGACATGGACTAATTTTAAGTATCTGACACTAAAGGATTGGTTGGCCAAATCATTTCATTCCTTCAAAAACTGTTCTCCCACATGCTGGGCATATGCTACGTACATAAGGTAAATAATACTTCTCCTTCCCCGCCCCCCGGACTTTTTTTTTTTTAACTATAGTACAGATAACTATAGTACAGAAACGAGTATTGACAAGTGGAAGTTCCAGGAGCAGTGGAAGTGCCCAAACCAGGAGATGAGGCTGGAGACTGAAGTGAGATCTGGACCAACAGGGACCTTGCAAAGTACACTAAGGAATTTTTGTTCTGTCCAAGAAATATGTGGAAGGAAGCTTGGTTTGTGCTTCAATGAGATCAACTTGGCTGCAGATGAATGAGATCTGGGGGAACCTCAACTAGGAATATAGGGGTGAGTTAGGACACATATGTCCTGTCGGCATCTCCCATGTACTCTCTCTCCTGCGATACTGGAATTACAGCAGACACTGAGCCTATGTCAGACAGAATAACTGGAGAGGGTTGGCACTTTCCACGTGGGCCTGTTGAGAGGGTCTCATGGAACTTATAAACCTGCCTTCAACATCATAATTGCATCAGTGGTATTAAAGGACATGAGAACACTGCCATGTAGAACTCTCAAGCTAAAATTCCATAAAACAGGTAGCAAAATCTATTAGTGATTTGTTGTTGTTCATATTGTAAATTTCAAATTTTAATGACCTTATCCGAAAGTTTCATTGGAAATAATGGGTCTTGGGGCCAATGTTGTGGTCTTTCATATCAAGCTTTCATCTGTGATGCTGGCATCCTATAAGAGTACTTGTTCAGGTGCTAGCTGCTCCAATTCCAATCCTGCTCCCTGCTAATGCACTGGGGAATGCAGCAAAGAAGGGCTGAAGTGCTTGGGCCCTGCACCCACATGGGAGCCCTGAAGAATGCTATAGGCTCCTGGCTTTGGCAGGCCCCAGCCCTGGCCATTTCAGCCATGGGGAGTGAACTAGCAAATGAAAGATTCTCATTTCCTCCTTCTCTACTCTCTCTCTCTCCTCTCTTTGTAACTCTGCTTTTAAAATATATTTTCTAAAAACCTTAAAAGAGAAAGAAACAGTGGCCATTGAAGACAAGACTGTATTGCTCCAACAGTATCCTTTATTAGCAGTAAGAGTTGCTTGTCAGCCCTCCTAACACGGGGTGAGGGTGAGCAGCACCTCCTCTCTCACCGTTTCTGTGGTACAGAAGTTGTGCCTGTGGAGAGAAGGCAGCAGAGTCATCTCTCACTGGTGCAGACCGGCGTGCCGAGCAGGAAGGCAGTCTCTGTTTTCTCCCTCAGGCTGAAATAGGGGCAGGGCCTGTTCCTGACACTAGATGCTGACAAAAAGAAGCATGCTTCCGTGCAGAGGACCAAACTTTTCATTCAAATTTCATCTTCTGGTTATGCAGTACATGGGGAAGTCTGTGGACACCCCAAATTGCAGAAAGGGCTTTTGTGACATCATGAAAGCAGTTGCTAAACATTTGACACATGTTAACCAAGACAACTAGGAAGGACAAAGTCAACAGACTGGCAAGAAATGTTCTATTTGTGAAATGTAACTGTTTGGAAGTCCTGGTGTTGTATTGACTAAACATTCTTATTTTAATTAAAATACTGAAATGCTCAGTTTCTTTCATTTGTACTGAACAACACATAGGATGCATTGAGCTAGTTTTTTGGATAAAATGAGTTTGCCTTTGTTAAGCAACTGGAACATGAACTATGCTCAAAAATTTTTTCCCTCTCCTTTTCCCACCATGTTGTCTGAAGGATAACAGCCTTGTAAATGGAAAACTGACTATCAAAACCAAAATTAATAAACAATATAAGAAAGAAAAGACATATTGAATCTATATCTAAAAAGGTAAACTGAATTTATGCTGGAATCAAACTTTATGTGAATGGATTCCAGAATTATATTTTCATACAATGATCTATAAGATGGAGATAATAGCACGGCGTTCCACCTAACTCCAGTGAGACTGACCTACATTCAGAAACCTGCTAACAACACCCGCTGGTGTGGATGTAGGAAGAAAAATACTAGTGAAACCACCACACACGTCTACATGGAAAGTGCTAACTGATCTTGCCGATGACACAGCTATTCCACTCCTGGAAATATAAACATGCATATAAAAAAAGCAATCTGAAACCCTATATTTTTAGAAGCATAATCCACAATAGCAAAGACATGAAACCCTAGAGGGCAAAAGAGCAGTAGTTAAAGAAACTATGGTGCATATACTCCGTTGAATACCACTCAGCCATTCAAAGGATTAAAATGTTACCATCTGCAACTAGAGACCATAATACTCTATGACATAAGCCCATCCCAAAGGATAAATATCCTATATTCTTTCTGTTATAAGCCAACTTTCATGCAAAATACTAGACAAAACGATCTGCAGGTAAATATGTACATGCACAAATCCTCATAGGTAAGCTGCATAATGGAGACTAGCGTACCGGGAAGTGAAGACACGTTGCAGCATGCATCTCTACTTCTGAAGAAAGGAAAGACTCCCAATGAAACTGTAAAATTTATCTTGACAATAGGATGCTGAACTTTTACCACTGTTTATACCTACAATGCCAAGATGTACTTAAGTAGCATATGTTGCACTTCTGCTATCTGAAGGACTATATATATCATTGTAATAATATGCAGCAAACGATGAGGGCACGGGGCTGTGAAGGGAGGAATCCCTGTGCCTAGGGAACCACATCACGGAAAAGAATTTTAAGAAGACAAAAACAATCATTGAAATAAAAAAGCAATAAAATGAGAGTTAAGTGACTCAAAATAAAATGACATATTTGTTACAATGTCTATAAAAAATGGAGATAATACTAACACCCACCTTATAAAGTTTATGTTTTTATTTTAACATGTTTTTGGAGGTCTGACTTAAATAAGCTATACATATATGTATATACATGCATATGTAAACATATATATGCTTAAACAAAATCCCTTCACTTTTCCTCACTCCCTCCTTCTTTCTCTTTGTCTCTCTCCTATTTCCCTCCTGCATACACAAAATATACACAAATCCGAAACCAAGACCAGACTCAGTGAAATCTATGGAGTACATAAATCACCTTCAGATTTTCCTCTTGCCCTTAAAAGGCCATTGGAGACAGAGCTGTGCTGAGGGCCAGAGACTCCAGGTCAGAACCACAGACCCTGCTGGGCCTGAGCTGCAGAAGCCCTTTGTTCCACCTAAAGTAATCAATGCTTCAGAGGCTGGTCTGGGGTCAGTAACATTGCAGGTGGAACCCTAAATTTCCTTTTAGACATGTTACCTATGTTGTACTCATTTCATGTTGGAGCCAGTCCCCCTCTCAGTCCAGCCAGGTAATGGCACTCAATAGGGTGCTTCATCCTACGTATTACTTTGGATTTTCATACTTACACTCTTCCATCATTTGTTTGCACTGTGATCTGGGATGCTCCTACTTTGGGCAGGGTTGGATTGAGCACATTGTTATACCAAAGGAATTTAACCTTCTGTAAGGCTCCAACATCCACATCTGAGTCAATTTCATTAGAATGTGTATCGCCTGATTTGAGAGTGCCCCTGGAGGGGGTGGGATTAAGAAATTAACTATATAAATGTGAACTTACATAATATACATATTAATAAACATACACACATAAGCATTTTTGTTTATTTCTAAGAAGAGTTTGGAAATCTCTTGCTTAATGATTTTTTGTCATAATATAATAAGTAAATTTAGGCATGAATGTTAAGTCAGTAATAGCTTTTTCTATAATGATTGATATTTCATCTTTACTTAATCAAAGCTTCAAACATACCTTACAATCCTTGAATAATTTAATATTTAATGGCATGATATCAAACCTTTTTCTAGTTGTTTTGGGAAGAATAATTATTTATTGATTAGAAATCAGATGCCAGACATCAAAATAAACACTGATAGTTTTTCAGAAAATGGCACAGAAAAAAATTGGAAACATGATAGATTAAGATACAAGGGTAAAAGATGTTCATCCTGGGTTTTGGTGTAGAGTAGGGCTGGCATTCCCATATGGGTGCCAGTTCAATATTCTTACTACTCCACTTCCAGTCCCACTCCCTGCTAATGCACCTGAGAAAGCAGCAGACAATGCCCCAATTGCTTGGAACCCTGCATGCACATAGGAGACCTAGAAGAACACCCTGCCTCCAGCCTTCGGCCAGGCTCAACCACTGGGGCCATTTGGAGAGTGAGCCAGAGGATGGAAGATCTCTCTTTCTCCTTGTTTCTTTCTGTCTCTCTTGCTCTCCCTCTCTCTGTAACTCTGCCTTCCAAATAAATAAATGAATATTTTTGTTAAGGAAGAATTTCATTCTTATCATATATCAAAGTACTGTATGTTCATGTATTAATGTCTGTAGCATGCATTATAAATACTCAGCATTTGAATATTTGAGAAGTTTAAAATACTTACTGGAAAATCTCATACTGTCTAGAATTTCCATTACTTCCAAACAGAGAAACCAACACGTGTCCTGTAACCTTCTGTCCAGACAGTGTCACAGTGACCTTGTATCTCCAACCTGTATGTGAGAAGAAAACCCCCCAAAATGAAAATATAAGCTTGTTGAGAAAGGTCTGAAAACAGGTCACTGTTGCAGAATTTGAATAGTTTGCATGTGATGATAGTGATTCTTTAATAAAGAACATAGATCTTTATTTTATTTTCTTTAGTAGAAAACTGATTCATTCTCTAAAGATTCAGGGGAAAGACATTGGGGATTGATGGAAATGTAGACATTTCCCAGTTGATAGATGTTAGGTCAAGCCAAGGAACTAAAGATCAATGTTTGCATTAAATATTTCAGACTTATAGCTTATTCTTGGATGCCATAAGAATTTTATGCTAAAAGGTTGACAAGCTGTAGTGTGCCATATTTGTCAGTTCTCCTCATTGACAATCAAATTGTATATTTGTCTTTTTCTTTGTTCAGTCTACATTGATCTAAAAAGTTTTGTAATTCAACTTTCCACTGTCAATGGCAATGCAAGTTACTGTAATGAGAAAGTTTCTATAATACAATCTAGAGTGAGCAGATTTAGAGCTAATCTGTGTTTAAAAGGGGAAGGTGATAAAATTTGTTTTTGGGTTTACAATACTATTAATTCCATTTACTCCATTCAAGAATATCTGTCTTCCTCTATCTTGGAGAAGAGAAACACAGACCCTGCTAAGTGTCTTACCACTCCTGAAACCTCCAGTCCATCTCCAACCGAGTCTATAATCCTCAATGTCTCCTAAAATTGCCACCTCCTTTCCAGCCCCACTACCTCTGTGATTTGTTGTTTTAGAATTAGTTTTCTGCTTATAAAAAGTCTCAGAACTTCATTCAGTGATACTCGACAGAATACAAAACAAATGGAACAGATGAATTCAGCACCAGAATAAAAAAATCATTATGCAAGTCACAGAGTCTGTTCTGTTACCCAAATCAGACATCATTATTCTCACAATTTTTCCACATTAGGAATAGGTGTTTACTACATTTGCATAAAGTTTTTCTTCCATTATCAGTGGACAGAAGAAATTACATAGCATTTATAATGTAAAGTTTAAAAAAAAAGACACTTACGTGCAAAATTACTGGAATCACCGGTGTTAAGATAAAATACCTGGTACAGAGCATTTGTTTTTCTAGAATATTTATCAGCGTAATGTCCCATCTGTGGGCATTCTCCACTGGAGCAGGAGAAGCATTTGTTCTAGTAATGACAAACATTTAATGTAAGAGGATGCTCTTTAATAGTGTATCATCCTTTCCCACATGTTGCAGCAGTCCAAACATGCTGAGGAAAATTCTGATTGACAAAGAGAACTTCAACAGTGTCTCAGCAAAGGGTCACTCTATACCTTATTATTTACAAGGATACATCAGTAGTTTCACTGACAAATAATGTAATGCTATTAAATACAAAAAATGCATTACTGATTCTCATTGTGTGCAATGAAAGAACAGGTGGATCTAAGAAAACATCCTTTTTTCCCCCGGACCAAGGCCTTGTTGTACAGGGGATGGGAAGGTAGACACACAGTCGGGAGGACAAGCATCTCAACTCCCACTGTGGAGGGGAAGGCTACCACACAGTGAAGCTAAGTGGTCAATTCCAAAATCAATGGACCAGGTGTGGTGGACATGGATGAGACGCAGGATCCCCCCTCTGCCAAGACCTAAGGGGAGGCTGAGTCAGGCAGGAAGAAATGGCTGCAGCTCTCAGAAGGCACTGACTGAAGAGGAGGAGAGCCCAGCTGTCTCTAAATGCCCGCAGGGTGCCCATCAACAACACAGATGGGGATATGGTCTGCTGTACAATGGAGCTCAGGGCCCCTAAGACGATGGACCCCTCTGTTGACCACACGCAGACCAGAGCACCCATGATCACCAGGCTAAGTACCAGAGGGGCTGCAGGTGGGGTCCAAATGTGGGAAAATAGGACTACAAGTGCTGAGCATCCCTTTAAGGATTATAAATATCAAGCCTCAATAATGTTTAACTAGAAGAGATCTGAAGATTTCATGTTTGTCCTTCTCACTATCTAAGTTGTACTTTAGAGAGGAGAATTAAAATAAAGTTTCAATTTTTACTCTATAGGCATATTGTGAATAAAATCTGTTCCTCCTTCCCGTCATAGCTAACATTTGTCAAATACAAATAATCAGTTTTGCCTCTGGGCTAAAACTTAACATGCATAATCTCATAATTCACTCTGATCAAAGATGTTGAGGCTACTATTATTATTTATACTTGAATATGAAGAAACTGCTTTAAACAAGTGGTCTGCCCAAGTCATTTGATTGTTAAGTTGGACTTTGAGTTCTTTCTCTCTCTCTCTCTTAATAACCAAGGTATGTCGGCCCGGCGTGGTGGCACAGTGGTTAAGGTCCTCGCCTTGCACGCCTGGGATCCCATATGGGTGCCAGTTCTAATCCTGGCAGCCCCACTTCCCATCCAGCTCCCTGCCTGTGGCCTGGGAAAGCAGTTGAGGACGGCCCAAAGCTTTGGGACCCTGCACCCACGTGGGAGACCCAGAAGAGGCTCCTGGCTTCAGATTGGCTCAGCTCCAGCCGTTGTGGCCTCCTGGGGAGTGAATCATCGGACGGAAGATCTTCCTCTCTGTCTCTCCTCTCTGTATATCTGCCTTTACAATAAAAATACAATAAATCTTTAAAAAAAAAAAAAAACCAAGGTGTGTCTCCTGGGGAGCTTTGATTTCCCCTAACATGTTAATTACTTAAAATCCCATTTAATAAATGGCATAAGTTATAAATTTTGACTTTAAGAAATATACAGTGGGAAGACACTGTCAGAAACACACAATATTACAACACACGAACCATACCAGTCACCAGATGTGGCAGTCACATGGTGGCTACTTACTGCAGTGAAATCGCTGTAGGAAGCACAAGCGAATCCAGCAAAGCCAGTAGGATTGATGATGCTGTCACTGTAGTACTTGTAGCTTCTTAAATGATTACAGGCCGCAAAATCACGTGTTCCTGTGAATTTAGGCATATTACACAGCAGCACAGATTTGTTTCAAGTTAATTTCATAATCAAAAACATCATTGTTGGATAGAATTTTCTTATTAGTCTAAGGCTCAAGGAAGCCCAAGAGCAAAATCATTTATGAAGTATATCTGTGATTACTGACACAATTAGAACTTACGGGTTGTTCAAGGTGATAGCGGTCAATGCCATAGTCAAATGAAACAGAGAAGTAACTTTGAGAGAAAAACACTGATTCACAAAGATATAAATGCAACTTGCTCAAGTGTCCCCTGTCTGTGGAAATTTGATTGTAAGTACATTTTCTTTCCCACAATCTTCTCATGCCTCCTTTAAAGTCTCTATCTCAAAAGTACAACTGTAAGCCAGTTTTCATACAAAGTGAGACCTGTGAAATTCCTAGATATCAGCAAATTGAAAAAAATACAGTGCAAGCTTTCCCTGAGACCCTCTTTGCACATGTAATGGTTTTACCTTGCCAGATTCCGTCCACATCAACAATCTGAGAAAGAATGTTCTTACTGCAACCAGGCATTTCTTTACCTCCATTTGGAAAGAAATCAAGGTGACCCACAGTTTGGATCATTCCAAATCCTGAAGATTTTAATAAGGAAAATTCATGTTACTGTACAGACTGAAAATAGAATAAAACACACCAAAGTACACTAGGACGAGTTGGACAATCTAAGGAACTCACCCAAGTTGGGGATCATGGGGGCGCCATCTGTGTGAATTGCATCCACAAACTGGGCATCACTGGGATCCAGTCGGACAATTTCGGGAGTGTACTGAAAGCAAGGTTCAGCTGGATCCAACCCTTAGGTAGATACATATATTGTTAATTGCCTTCCAGTGCTCACAGGCACTCACATTAATCCGCTAATAATCAAAGAACTGGCTACATTCATGAGCTATGCATGGCAAGAGAGAAATGCTTTTTTTCTTCCCTTACCACTTATTTTCAGGAGGGATATTGGCTTCTACTTTGCCACTTGCTTGAACTTCCCTCAGTCACAGAATCAGCTTTTACTTTAGGATAATTAGTCCCTGGGAGAATCTTGGTGACTAGCACCAGTTCCCAGGAAATATTTGGAGCCTGAGAGACACAAAAGCCAATCCAGGTTCAGCGTCCACTAGACTCTGACCTCCAGTTGGCACAAGGACCTCAGCTTTCCTGGTCACCAAAATACAGACTTGATGGCACAGTGCCTGGTTGTAGGCTGTCTGACTATGCCAGACACCTAAAGGAAATTACAGTCTGTGTAGATGAGGCTCATAGGATGCTGAGCCTAATTTTCCTTTGTGATTCCAATAGGCTCCACGTAGTCTAAAGTTTGCAGTCCCGAGTGTTTCGACTAACCTGTGATTCGTCCAACGGCCCCATTGGTCCTCTTTCCAGCCTCCCCAGCAATATGGGAACCCAGGCTGTGGCCAATAATATGGATATTGGCTGGTGAGTACCCAAGTGCTGACTGTTGGAAAGAAAAACGTTTTTAAGTATTTAAGATTTCAAGCTGGGAACAGAGAAGAACCTGCAAGTTTTCAGTTTCAGATACAGTATTCCTTCAAAGCAACAGATTTCCAAGGTGATTTCCCCTTTAGGGCTTTAATTAGAAGAAGAAATGGGTTTACCTTTTTTAAAAGAATCTGTTGAAGTAAGACTATTTCATTCATTTCTATTCTATTTCTAGAGAGAATCGTTGGAGGACATGGTAAGTTGTTACTGAGTTAACAACGCAGGTGTTCAGATGAAAGGGCAGTGAAGAAGAATTTACTTAATCACATTCAGGTTTAACATGGCCTGCATTTTTAGCTATTCAAGGCTAGACTGTTACCATTTCAATTCTGTTAAAAATTAGTTTAATTTTGAGACTGACATCATGTCAACGTGTTAGTAACTGATACAATGAAAACAAGTTTTGGCAAAATTCTGGAGCTATATTGATAAAATCTGGCAATAAAAATAACCCACCTGGATGCTCAAAGTTCACTTCAGTTCGTGAAAAACAAACATTGGTTTGATGACTTAGATTTATTGACAAACTCAAGCTAAGATTTCTTTGCATTTTTTTTCTAAGAATTACTTAATGTTTTTAATTTGAAGGGCAGAATTTTAGAGAGGAGAGACAGAGAGATAAGTTACATCTGCTGTTTCACTCCCCCAAAATGGCCATAAAGATTAGATCTTCCAGGAGCCAGGAGACTCCTCTGGGTCTCCCATGTGGGTGCAGAGACCCAAGACCTTGGGCCATCCTCTGTTGCTTTTCCCAGGCTCTACGCAGGGAGCTGGACTGGAAGTAGAGCAGCCAGGGCATGAACTGGTGCCCATCTGTGATGCAGGGGATTGGCATCTAAACCACTGCACTAGTTCCTGCACCCTGCATTTTCCTTTCCAACTTAGAACAAAGTCACACATTAGCAGAACAATGCTTTGACCAATATCAAACCCATGGCATTTTTTTAAAGAAAAATTTAAAAATCAATGTGTATAAGCTTTTCTATAACTCAGATGCAGTTACCTGAAGAGTAGAAATTAAATATGCCACTTCTGCCCCAACAACCTGGACATTTTGTGTGGCCTGTGAGTACGTAGTTCGGGAGCCGCCTTTCCAGTCCACACAGATGCAGTTCACGTTTTCCACTTGAAACATTCTCTGATGAAAGAGACACAAGAACGAGGCAGAGAAGTCAGCATCTTTGTTAATTACTAATAATCCTTTTTACAATAACCACTCTTGGCCTGCAAAATAGCATATCGCTACTAACGCTGAAGCAACAACTACAACACTAGAATGTTAAAGATAGGAACTCCCAGATGAGATTTGATCACCCTGGGAACTGTGATTTCTACTGCATTAGACAGACAGACTTGATTCACGGAAGAAACATACCAAATGCCTTATAATGAGTTGTCTCATTGCAAATACCACCAAACCACACTGTGGCTTAGTAAAACATAGTCAAGAACGCTGTCTTTGCTGCGGTAGTCTCTGTGCCCAGAAGAATCTCTGGCACATAGTGCCGGGTACTCAATCAACAGATGCTGATTGACTGAAGTACTCAAAATACTTAGATTTATAAGTACACAGACAATAGAGGAACATGTATTCCATGATGTGAAGACATCACTGAAGTGCTATTCCACTGAAAGTATATATAGCCTGTCAGCTATCTACTGGAAATATTTTTGGATGCAGTTTTCATGGATGTTAATTCTGGCAGAAATTATGGTTTGACTTTTTTTAAGTTTGTTTACCCACTCTTGCCAAAAGGAATTTGAGAATAATTAAGCAATCTTAGGAATGATCTCCAAATCTTACTTTAGAGAAGGCAAACTTCAAGAATGAAATGATTGTCGTAAACAGACAAAAATTGGTCAGTGAGGCTGCTCTCAGATGGCCACATACAAGTGTGCACAGGGCAGAGCACTGCTAACATCCCAGACGCTGAGTCCTACTTTGCTAACATCAAGTTACTGATCAGTGGGATCATTACCTTTCTACCTTCACACACTCATTTCGTCATCATAATGCAATAGCATCAAGTCACATCAAATCCAGTCAAATGCAAGGAAGACACATCTGCCTTCATGATCTTATAATCTATCCAAATCTGAAAAGTTTATATTTTCTTTGAGCTTAGAATTACCTTTTTTTTGTCTTTCTCTGTCATGAAGAAATCTATTTAGTGATTATTTTTAAGTGTGAGAAATGAACAGCCTCTATTTTGTTCATTAGTTTTCAAGAGATGTGGATATGTTGGTGAGCTGACTTGGTTCAGCCCTTTTTGTATGAGTCACAGGCAGGTCAAAAATTAAATAGCCATAGGAGGACCACGGAGGTTTTTCCTTGATTTCCCTAGACAAATTATTACGGCTTTGTGCCACAACTGACCACATAAATTTGATGCAGATACAAATAAACACACCAATAGGAGAATCAATATAATGACCCTCAAACAGCAGCAGTTACTGCACAATTTAGTTTATTGGATTTTTGGTCTTAATGCTTCATTATAATAAGACACAGAGCCAAAGACAAACTAAAGCAAATAATCACTGTAGCTGAAACAAGAGAAGTTAGAAATAAAAACCATCACAGATCTCCTAGATATCACACCAGAGGAGGTCAGGGAGTAGCTAGGAAAAATTGAGGGCAGGGGGAGATTATTTTTTAAAAAATTAGACCTCTTGGCTCATCGCATGGCAATTAAAAGCTCACAGAAAGCCAGCAGCCTGTGTTCAGCTTCTATGCATCTGTATCCACTTCAGGTGTGGAAGCTGGGAGACTGCTGTACCAGTTCCTGCAGAACCATCCCTGCCTGCCTGGGAACCTCCAATGCCTGCCAACCTCACTTTCTTGGTTGTCTCAGGCCGCATCTGTAACCCAGAGCTCTCCCAGAAGCCCAGGTCCAGTGGTGACCAACTTGGGCCCTGCTTGCTGAGGCCCATTTCCCTATTAGGTGCTGTTTATTAGTCATGGGACAACTTTCTCTGTAGATATTACCACATCTCACCTGGCACATATCGGAGAGCCAGCTTTCTTCTCCCTTGTCTATGAATCCATGAACAATGAAGCGGGTTTTTCTGTTTGTGTTGAAATTGGAGTTTTTGATTGTTGATGCATCTGCAGTGATTTCCTATTTTGAGGAGAGGAGTGTTTCAGGTCAAGTCTCTAGAATCCACCAGAACCGCATGCATATGGGGGAGGAAGAGAGTAGACAAGAAGCTGCTGGGAGTCAAGCATCTTGTAAACAAGGATTCTCCCCTTATAACCAACTTCTTCACCATTACTACTGAGCTGCTATTTTCCTATCATCACAAAATGTTTTCAGTTTGTTCTTGCTGATGCAGTGGTGGGGATGCTTACTCCTGTTACCATGTGGCTGACTAGGAGCTGGGACTCACTGAAGCTAACCAGCACCATGAGCCTATCAAGATTCAAAATACAGGTTCTATTCAATGCATGTTGGTTTCACACAATCCTAAAGCAAAAAAGTCATTAAGCCAGATAATTGTAAGTTGTAAGTTGAAGACCATCCACATTATAAATCATAAGTGTGTGTGTGGTGTGTATGGTCCCACATTTAAAATATTTCTAATGGTAATCTGTAGGTAACACAAGAAGAATGCAAAGTTAGTGGATCTTTATGAACAAGTTATATAAAATAATACTTAGGTGCACTGCTTGAAAATTCTTCAGAGCTACAACTTTCACTGTCTGACTTGATGGGATCCATAAAAGACTTAATTAATCAAAATTCCACAAAACAGTTGGAACTTGGCCCTGAAAACAATGAGATTTTTTACCTGGTAATTGTTTTTGTTCTCATTTGTGTACAGGAGGAAGCGGGTGTTGATGTGTGATGGATCCTCAGGCAGTGTTTTGATGGGGCGTTCTGCAGTTCCTGCCCATGGGGGATCGTCAGTGAAGCAGCCCAGTCTGTCGTAGCAGATTTGACTTCCTGTATGTATCCAGAAGTGGTTATAGGATGTCAGTGTGACCATAATTGTGCTTATAACTGTCTGCTCTTTCAGCCAGAATAGGAGCTCAGCTGAGTTTCGTGGCAGATTTTCTTCCTCTGCCTCCCCCAGTCTCCTCCCAGTCACCCCTGACAAGGCAGCTTCAGCTCAACAGGCTGTTGCTAATCCTTAACTCTGAGGCAGCGTAGCCTCAGAGTTTGCTCAGCCCTCTGTAGGGGCTCCTTCCAGTCCCCAGGTTCCATCCCTCATCAATCAGTGGTGCCCAAGGATGGAGCAGCCTTATCCTAGGCATACAGCTCTTAATCCTCGTAGCTGAAATGTTGGTTTTGAATTTTGGGATGGAGGTCCTATGTCATGCAAGGATTGATAGTTTTATTGCTGCCCCTTTTGAGCCTTTAGTTGTCTATGTTTGGGTCTGTCGTGGATGCCTGAATGCAGAGTTTTATCAGAAGCAATGTGATAACATGCTTTCACATAACCCTACACTTGGTTATTGCCAAGAGTAGCAGCTCTTGGAGGGGCCGAATTTCTTCCACTCTTACCATGTGCCAGCTGCTAAGCCCAGTGATGTACTTATCTAAGCCTTACATCATGTCACGAGAGGGGTGATATCTCTTCAGTTTCAAAAAGATACTGAAAGCACACAGCGCTATAAAATTTGCTCAGGGAGCTACTGCTGTCGGTGGCAGATTCAAATCTTTCACTTGACTACAATTTAAGGTTGTTGGATGTCGCAAACAAAACAAAGCATAAGACTGAATTTCAGATAAACAATGAATTTTTTTTATACAAAACTATCACATTTTTGTGTTTGAAATACAACTTGTTTATCTGAAATTCAAACTAGCATCTTACTTTGCCCCACAACATTGTGGCCTTTATTCATTCCTGTCCTACTAGAGTGAATTCAGCAGTCATGGGTCTTTGGGAAAGACTTGAGCATCTGCCAGCTGCACATAAATACTTTTGCTTACCTGCCGCTGCCCCTAATAGCAGTGAGAGTGTCCACAGCAGCAGCATCTGCAGAGAGTCAGAAACATGGTTGAGTCTGGCTACACATTTTTAAAAGATTGGCACAATGCAAATTCATTTAGACCCCTGAGGAAAAACAGACGGTTCTAACAAATGAGCCCCTTGGAAATCATGTTCTGACTCACCGTGGCACTTCTGTCAGGATCTGCACACAACCTTATACCGAAGGCCTTTTGTTTTATAGGTGAACCTTATCTTTCTTTGAGCAGGACTGTGGAAAAGTGTCATGAAAAGAGAACAATTGCCAAGGATATAGTTCTAAATTTATTCGCAGATAAACTTAGAGTGATAGTATATGTAACATTTTGTTGCATAACTATTTGTGGGAAGATCAGAATATGGCAGATAGTGGAAATTTCTCTTCCAATGTAATTATATAATGTTTAAAATCTCCACACTTTCATTGGCTTAGAAGATGTAGTCCTTCCATGCCAAATCCCTTTGCTGTTATTTCTTAAGTTTACAGCTCTCCATATAGTACTATGGGTGACAGTAAAGCTAAACCGCTCTCCCAGATTGGATAGCAGAAGCTTTGTAAACAATTCTGACAGTTGAGCATCTTGTGAAGCTACAGGACATTGTTGTATACTCAGAAACAGTGAACTGGAAGCCATTCTCCAGAGTTCACTCCTTCTACCTAAGCACCTGATATTTTGAACCTATAGGGCTTGTCTATTTCTTAATAATGTGGAGCAGAAAATAAAATAAAGCAAACCAAAGGAATCAATGGGACTGCTGAGAACACAGAAGTGGAATCAGTGATCTCACTACTGGATGAAAGTATGGATAGGAGATAAACGAAGTTTAGCTTGGATTAAATAGGGACTATTTAAAGATCAGTGAAACAAAATACTGTGCTTTTTAAAAAGATAAATAAAATGGACAAATCTTTGGCTACACTAAACAAGAAAGAGAGGAGACTGAAATATTAAAAATTAGCAATGAACCAGGAAATATTAAAACTGATACCAGAGAAATACAAAGAACCACTAGAGACAACCATGACATGCCAACAAATGAGCAAATCTGAGATGGCTGAATTTGGATGCATACAACCTGACGAAATTGAACCGCAAAGGCAGAAAAATCTAAACAAATTTGAAACAAATAATAAGACTGATTCAATAATAAAAAGTCTCCCATCAAAGACAAACCCAGAACTGGATGACTCCACTGGTGATATCCATCAAACTTTTAAGGAAGAACCAACACTAACCTCTTTCAAACTATTTAAAAATTGATGGAAGGGAGCCCTTCCAAACTTCACTCATGAAGCTAACATAATCCTGATACTAAGCAAAACAGGAAAACAGAAGCAAAATGTTAAAATAAAACAGGATTCTGTTCTCATAAAAAGAAATTAAGAGAAAACCATACAGACCAATAGCTGTCATGAGGGGAAGCAGAGCGCAGTCAGACGCTGGTGAAGTGAGTCCCACTGCACATCACAAAGACCAACTTCAAAGAAAGAAAGACTTTTCCTAAGCATATTGGGGTAATTCAACATAGAGAGATTAATCAATGTAATTAAACACAAAACCAAAATGAAGGACAAAAATTAGATGATTTCAATGGATACAGAAAAAGCATTTGATGAGATTCAACATTCCTCCATGCAAAAAAAAAAAAAACCCTGAAAAACAGAGGTTATACAAGGACTGAACCTCAAGATGGTAAAGGATATGTATATTACTCACACCCACCATTACACTGAATAAATATTTTCTTTAACATATGGAACAGAGCAAATATTTCCGCTCTATTTTTATTCAATATAGTACTAAATTTTTAGAGCAGTTAGTCAAGAGAAAGAAACACAGGACAAATAAACAGGAAGGAAAGAAGTTAAGTTATCCCTGTTGTAGCTGATACACTTCCACAAGTATAAATAGAAAAACCCAAACAATTCACACATTTAAAAAGTAGAAAATAAAGTCACCATATAAATATACATAGCAACTTTATATATCAATGACAAATGTGCTGAGAAACTAGTCAAGGAAGCAATCCCCTTCACAATAGCTACAAAAAGAATAGTCTCCAGGAAGAAACTTTACCTAAGAAGTGAAAGAAATTTATAACAACAATTACAAAATGCTAATGAAAGCAGTTGAAAAGAACACACAAAAATTAAAAAGCCTCCCTTGTGCATAAATTGGAAGTTATATTATTAAACTGCATATATCCACAGTAACTTGCTGGATCAATCCAATCCCCATTAGAATATAAGTATCATTCTTCACAGGACTGTTAGAAGACAGTCCTAAAATTCACATGGGAAAATCAATGACCCCAAATAGCCAATGCAATCATCAGCAAAACAAAGAAAGTTTTAGCTGATTCCAAGACATGTTACCATACTATAGTAACCCAAACAGTCTGGGTTAAAGCAGATACTGAGACCCCAGGAACAGAGACTGCAGAAATAAATTCATGCTTATTAACAAAATCTTTAAAAAGCTAGAATAGAGTATGGGTAACCTTTTCTATAGCTGGTGCTGTGAAACGTGAATACTTACATTCAAAATATAGAAAGTGGGCCCAGCGGCATGGCCTAGCAGCTAAAGTCCTTGCCTTGAACGCACCAGGATCCCATATGGGTGCCGGTTCTAATCCTGGCAGCTCCACTTCCCATCCAGTTCCCCACTTGTGGCCTGGGAAAGCAGTTGAGGACGGCCCAATACTTTAGGACCCTGTACCCGCATAGGAGACCTGGAGGAAGTTCCTGGTTCCTGGCTCTTCTGGCTTCGGATTGACACAGCACTGGCTGTTGCGCTCACTTGGGGAGTGAACCATCAGACAGAAAATCTTCCTCTCTGTCTCTCCTCCTCTCTGTATATCTTTGTAATTAAAAAAAAAATCTTAAAAAACAAAAACAACAAAATCCCCCAAATATTGAAGTGTGACTCCTACTTCTTGCCATGCACAAAACCCATATGAAAATGGATCAAAGACATAAGTGTAAGGCTTGAAAGTATGAAACTATCAGAAGGAAACATTAAAAAATACATCAAGATATCAGTACAGACAGATTTTATAAATAAGATTCTCAAAATACAGGCTATTGGGCCCAGTGCAGTAGCCTAGTGGCTAAAGTTCTCGCCTTGCAAGCACCGGGATCCCATATGGGTGCCAGTTCACATGCTGGCTGCTCTACTTCCCTTTCAGCTCCCTGCTTGTGGCCTGGGAAAGCAGTCTAGGACGGCCCAAAGCCTTGGGACCTTGCACCCATGTGGGAGACCTGGAAGAAGCTCCTGGCTCCTGGCTTCGGATCAGCTCAGCTCCAGCCACTGCAGCCAGTTGAGGAGTGAGTAATGTCTCTGTCTCTCATTCTCTCTATAAATATGATTTTCCCATGTAAATAAATAAATCTTTTTAAAAATACAGGCTACCAAAGTCAAAAAAGATACAAACACAAATCAAACCAGGAAGCTTTTACAGTAAAGAAAACAATCAATAGACTAAAGACAATCTATAGAATGGGAAAATGTTTTGAATTAATCATCTAATAGTACTGATAGCCACCATATGAATATAAAAGTAACTCAAATAATTTGATCAAAAATACTTAATTTTAAAAATGGAAAAATTATGTAACTAGATATCATTAAAAGGAAGAAACAGAAATGACCAAAAATAAAAATTAAGGCAAACAGTTAATTTCAAAAGCCTTCAGGGAAAAGCTTATCAAAATGAGATTTCATATCCATTTCGAATGAATATAATTAAAAGACAAAAACAAATGCTTAAAGTTTGTGGACAAAAGGGACAGTAGTACATTGCTGTCAATGGTAATTTACATAGACATTATGTAGAAGAGCATGAAATTTTCTCCAAAAAAAAAAAAAAAAAAGAAACATTAAAAGATCTACCACTAAATCCGGGTGTTCCACAGTTGGATATATATCCACAGAAATCGAAATCAATATACCAAAGAGAAATCTTACTCTCATGTTTATTGCAGCACTATCAACAACAAACAAGATACATAACTAAACTAGATGCGTATCAACGGGAAGACAAAGAAAATGTGGTACATATACACTAAAGAATAATATTCAGTCATAAGCAATAATTAAACCCTGTTATTTGCAGCAAAATAGATGGAACCGGAAGACACTGTGTTAATGACCTGGTACAGGCACAAACACCATATGAGCTCCCCAGTGTGCAGAAGCTTCAAACATGACATCTGAAGGTAGGATGGTGAATCCTAGAAGTTGGAGTGAGGCAGGAGTACATACATTTTAATAATGGGTGAAAAACTAAAGTTACATGGGAGGAACATGTTCTAGTATTTCAAAGCGCAATAGTATCGTTCTAGTTCACAATAAATTATCCAGCATTTAATGCATAATTAGAAAAGAGGAAATCAAAGGCTCCAAACTGTTTTATAAACAATGAGATTGGAAAGCTAATTATCATGATTTTATTAATAGAAACTATATAAATGCCTTGAAATATATATTAATAAAAATTTTATAAAACCCCTATGGAGTATAGAAAAATTAAAATTACTCTTCACGGAAGATTGCAATGTGATCGTATAATTGCAATAGACATGAAGCCTTTAGCAATAGTTACAGATGTAGGACAACACTAGATATAGATGGATTTCAATCTTACAAATTTTCCAAATTGTGAGATTAAAAAAATCAGCAGAATTGTTTATCTATGAAATTATTCAAGAATGGTGAGGGAAACATTGAAATTATGATGGAAGACATAAGAAAGGAACACCATGAAGGGAAGATAAGGCAAATTTTGACCCAATCTTTCAGATCTCAGCCTTTCACCCATCAAGAGAGTCTTGACCTGCCTTATCTACAATGGTTCCTTTCTTCCATCTTAAGGAGTACCTGTAGAATTTCCCTCCTTTGAAACCATGACAATCAGCTATACGACATAAACCCAGAGAAGGCAGAAATTCCCTGAAGTTTTTGTCACAGCTAAACATCTGCATAGAAGGTCTTCAATACATTCCCGTT